TGCAGCTCTCTGTAAGTTTGGTGTGGCTGAACCAAGAAAGAAGGTATATGCTGATTTCTACAGAAATTATGATTCCAGGCGGTGACATAGCGCAGCGGTTTCCATGCCGGGCTCTAGAAATTATGATTCCGTGAAAGATTTTGAAGAAATGAGGAAGGCTGTTATCTTTCAGAGTGCAAAGTGGTACAGGAATAAAAAGGTTTCTTTGGATTGAGTTCCATAGGCGTTTGTTGCTGATCAGTGTTCCTGAACTGTGAAACATGAATATGTGGGCTAAGGAATACTTAGGTTCTCGTGACAAATAAACACTTGTGTGGACAGTCAAAAAAAGCTATACCAACTTATAGACTTATTGTATTCTTAAGGGGCTTAGGCATGAGGGATCCGGAAGGAAAGGAATGTAATTTTTTTCTTCTTTTTGAGACAGGGTTTTAAGCACAAGGGCCTGAGTTCAATCCCCAGTTCCAGGAAAAAAAAAAAAAAAAAAAAAGAGATTGAGACAGGGTTTTGCTATGCAGTTCAGGTTTGCCTAGAGCTCACAGAGATCCTCCTGCCTCAGCCTCCAGAGTGCTGGGATCACAGACAAGTGTCACCACACCCAGCAGAAACATAACATTTTAATTTTAATTTAATTTTATTTTTTTGCTGTACTGGGAATTGAACTCAGGACCTTGTGCTTATAAGGCAAGCACTTATTCTACTGAGCTATCTCTCTGGCCCCTTTATTTTTATTTTTAAAATTTAAAAAAATCTTTATTTATTTGGTACAGGGTCTCACTATGCAGCTCAGACTTGTAGCAATCCTCCTGTCTCAGCCTCCTCAGCCCTGGGATTTCAGCAGTACAAATCTTTTTTTTTTTTAAATTAATTTATTTATTTGTGTGTGTGTGTGTGTATGTGACCAGCTCAGCCTGCCAGGGGGCGGGGCTGGCTGGCATGTGGTGCTGGGGGATTGAACCGCGGTCCCTGTACTTTGCTAAACTTGTTCTAAGTAGGTGCTGTAGACCACTAAGCCATCACCAGCCCCAAATTTGTGATCAAGGAGATTATAGGGCCCCAGAGCAATGTGATCGATGATGTAGAGTGTGCCTAAGGAGAGTTACATGGAGAGAAAACATTCTCTCAGGCTTTCACAGAGAGCAAACTGGTCAAGCAATGGCCGTGACTCATCCACATGAGCAGGTGATTTAGATTGGGCATGGTGGCACGTGCCTGTAATCCCAGCACTTGGGAGGCTGTAAACAGGTGGATCACTACTAAGGTCCAATCTAGTAGCGAGACCCTGAACACCCTGTAGACCCTTCCCTAAAAATACAAATAAA